GCTTTAAAGACATGTGATTTTGTTATACTAAATTTCAAAAGATTAGAGAGAATCACCACACTCTGAGCCAAATTTGCATCCTTTTACTGCTGGCAATAGAGAGCAGCTCAAGATGGAAAACTCTCCACCATGAAAAGCAGCTTGTAGATTTAAGAGGCTCTTCTAGTTGAGGAGGGCTCAGGGAGAGGGGAGCAGAAGTGGAATTTCACAGGAGCAGAACTTTGCTAAATTAGTGGGGATCAGGAGTAGTTTCACACAGTTCAGTTAAAACAAAATATCACACAGGTGCAGAGTATTCTGTTCACCATGTCATAAAGATAACATATAGCTGCAGACTGCTCTACCAAATGGGATGTGGCAGCATCAACTGAGGAGACTCCCAAGGGGGCAGGGGGAGGCAACCACCTGGAATCACTTGACTTTACATGAAATGAGGGAAACAGTGATGAGGCACAAAATGGAGTCAGGTTGGCTATCACAATTTGAAGCATGGTATTGCAATGGATAGCTAAATCAGGTAAAAATATTGTAAGCAGTCAGACAGGGCTGGCCCTCAAGGAAGTCAGTGTAGAGGATGAGAACACATCAAAGCTGTGGCTGGAGGTACATCAGAAAAAGATTAAAGTCACAATGGCCAGATCTGCACACTTCCCTAAGGGATGAACAGAATTTTGAGATTATTGGCACCACCTTTTTGGGCTTTCCCATATAGGTAGATCATTATCTCATTGGGGGTGGGCTGTCCTCCTCCATCCACTAAGACTAAGGTCACTAAGACTAAGACTACAGATCATCGACCAAGGTTAATGACATCATCCATATACCCTTGTTACTATTGGGTCAATATCACCTAAGGGACTATGCTTGTAATCTTATTGGTTGATTACAGTTTTTACCCATGTTGTACCCATCCCTCATGATTTTGCTCTATAAAACTTCCTTTGAGAAGTGGGCTCCTTGGCAACCCATTCAGGATCCTCCTGTCTCTCAGGAGCTTTCTTATTCCTCATACCCATTCCCCAGTAAATTTTCCTACTCTTAACCTCTGTTGTTTCTTAGAATTCATTCTTTGACTTCAGGGAACATAAACTTGGCTTATCTGACATCTATCATGTTGCATTACATCTATTCCCCCTATATCAGTACAAGGGAGGATTTCAAGGTAGCTGAATAGAGGTGCCCAACCCTCACTTCCTCTTCCACAAAGAACCAAAGTAACAGGTGTACAGCTGCGCAGCTGCATTTTGAGGTGAGTGGGCAGGAAAGAACACTGGAAATCAGCAAGCAAGAGACTAGAACCATGTAAGATCCAGAGGCTGGGACATCAGTATAGGAAGAGAAACAAACTAGCCCAGGACCTGTCACCTTGGCTCACAGCTGGGGGAAGGATCTTTCACGTGTAGGGTAGGGTGGAATCCAGAGTCTGGGCAAACTCTCTTGGTGTGGATGCCAGCAATCTTAGCGACAAAACAACTTCACAATCCTCCCTGCAGCCAAGCGAGAGAAGTAAGCTGAAATCTACCTGGCAGGCTTGCTTTGGAACAGGCTCACAAACAACTCCTAGTGTTACCAGCTTCTGGGTCCTGAACTGATTCTTTCCAGGTTCTGAGTGCCTCAAACAAAGAATTGGATAAGATGTGCAGAAGAGGTGGCAAGGATTTATATTTATTAAAGGTGGACAAGAAGTATGCTCTGCAGACTCAGAGCCCGCTGGGGAACAGACTCACAGCAGCCACAAGGTGGGCTTTTTTGTGTCTCCTGCTCCTAGATTGCTTCTCCCCCATGCAAACAAGGCATTTGGGATGGTTGTCCTATCAGAAACTTACTTGGCCTGAATCATATTGATCAGCTAATCTCATGTGAGATCCTGAAGGCCTTTTATCCACATAGTACAAAGATCTCTGGAAAACAACATTCCTTCTTATAGTATCAGTTGAAAACTTGTGGCCAAAGAGTTACTGCCTGACCCACGTATGGCCTGTGTCATCAGACGCCCTCGGCCCAGGACACCACAAAGAGCTCTAATCTGCAGTACCAGTACCTCGAGCCACCTGGAAAAATCCACCAACCTCAAAGCAACTATGGTCAAGTGCCAAACTCGAGGAAGCTGGAAAGCTCAAGGCTGGAAAGCTTGACCAGTGGAATAGACACTCTCTGCTATGGCCAGAATAGGTTCCCCAAAAGTCATGTGTTAGAAACTTAATCCCCAAAACCATACATTAATGGCAGCTGGAAGTACAGTCTCAGGATGAGAGGTCATAGGGTGGGCTCTTAGGATGACAGGTTTTATAGGAAGAGTGCACCTGCTGTCTGTCTGTGTGCTGCCCTCTGCCATCTTAGGATGAAGCAGAAAGGCCCTCACTAGAAACCAGGAAGATGCTTTCGGGCTTCCCAACCTCCAGAACCAGGGAGCAGATAAACTTCTATTCTTTTTGTTTGTTTGTTTTGTTTTTGGAGACAAGGTCTTGCTGTATAGTCCAAGCTGGCCTTCAACTCACTGTGTGTCCCAGGTTTGCCTCAAAATTGAAGCAATCCTCCTGCCTCAGCCTCCCCAGTGCTGGGATTATTACAGGTATGTACCACCAGGCCCAGCCAAACCTTTATCCTTTATAAACTACTCAGTGTGCGGTATTCAGATTTAGCAATGGAAAATAGATAAAGACACCATCTTTGCTTGAAGAAGGCAATGCTTTTCAACAGTTGAGTCTCTTTCTTACCATCCTAGGTGACACATTAGAGGACCTAGAAAGGGGAAGGTTTTTTGGTACCAGGGATCAAACTCAGGACCTTGAGCTTGCCAGGTAGGCGCTGTGCTGCTGAGCTAAATCCCCAGCCCTAAAAGGGGAAGTTGTAAAAATGGAGTTAAGAGTTTGTGGTTTGCTGACCACCGTCACTGAAAAAGGATTTCACAACATGTCAGCATGAGGCACAGGGCAGACTTATTACTCAGAGTTACACAGTAAGGGAGAACAGAAAGCTGGTAGCTTGAGTCTCTGGAAGGGGCACATTCTGATGCAAGCATTCAGCCTGGCCCATCCACAAAAACATGAGGCTGGCTTTCAAGGATTAGCTGAGATTCGAGGAGGTCCAGAGCATCATTAGCCCAGTTCTGGTTTCCATAACTTTAAAGAAGCCTTTATGGCGTGACGGGCAACTTGGTTCTCAGGAAATGCTTGTGCTTGCTCAGGAGGGGTGGCTGCCTGGGTTCCTTTGTGGGGGGCCTGTGACCTAGGGATGATATAGGGGAAACAGATGTAACTCCCAACCTGTCAGATATCTGATACACTGTGTTCTCTAACATGGAAGAATGAGGAAGAGCTGAGGTTAAGAGTAGGAAATATTTATTGAGGGATAGACAGCTCTTGCCTGAGAGGACTAGGAGGGGACCCAGAAAGTGGGCTGCCGCTGACTCCACTTTCAGGGGAGGCTTTATAGAGCAAAATCACAAGTTGGGTATGAAATCACATGGTGGGTACAAGGTGGGACAAAATTATGATCAAAAATAAGGTTACAAGTATAGTTGCTTAGGTAATATTGATCCAATGGGGAAGCAAGTCACATAGCACATGTACATGGAAAGAATAAAGACCTTTCCTGGAAGGGATGGGTCAGGAGGTCTTGGTCCCTCACCCAAGGTGACTGATGTCTATTTAGAATATCAATCATTATTGTTCATCCCTTGGGGAAGTATATAGGTGTAGTCTTTTCATCTTTACTTTGAGGCCTGGTCTTCAATAAATATGCCTCTATTCACAGTTGTGTTTTTGTTTTTGTTGAGACAGAGTCTTGCTTTGTTGTATAGGCTGGCTCTGAATTTAATATGTAGCCCAGGGTGGCCTTGAGCTCACAGTAATCCTCCTGCCTCAGCCTCCCAATTGCTTGGATTACAGGTTGGCACCACCACACCCAGCTAGCCACAGTTGTAATGTGTTCTTATTTTCTGCACTGACTTCTTCAAGGGCTTAGCCCTGTTTGACTGCCTATAATATTTTTAACTGAGCTGTCTATAATACTTGGGCCTGCTTGGAGGTTCTGCTTCAGTGGTCCCATCATGGGGTGGCCTGCAAGGCTCCTGGAATCAGGTTTCTCTAGGTCTAGAAAGGGGACCCAGGAAACCTAGGAAATCTAGGAAATGCTCCTGTCTCCGCCCCACAACCCAGTTGGTTCTTAGCCTGGACTGCCACCTGGGAAGTGATTTTTGTTTTTAATACCTGAATGAGAACCCTAGGGAGTCAGAACCTGGCTGGGAACTAGTATTTATAGAGGCTCCCCGGGTTGCTAATGCTTTGGCCAGGGCCCAGGATAAGCGCCCTAAGGCAGGCTAAGTCAAAAACAGCACTTTAATTTTGTAAATGGGTATTTCTTGAAAAATTCTCTCAAAATATCGTTAAAATAAGCATGCACGAAAGGTCATGCTCATTATGATTGCATTTCTGCAAAAAGAACTGTAAGGGTAAAAACTTTGGTTAAATAAGAAATGTGCGATTACACTTATAATAATTTTGTCATAGGCAGGCTTGGATGCTGTATTAGGAAAGCAACAAAGACACATTCCCCACCCCAATGTTTATTGGTACATCTTGGCTATAAAATACATTTAATACATCATTGGGATCTTGTACCATTACATGAGTATCTTGGTTCAATTTTTCTTTTTGAGACAGGGTCTCACTATGTAGTTCAGCCTGGCCTTAATTCACTATGTAGGCCAGGCTGGCCTTGAACTCACGGCGATCCTCCAGCCTCAGCCTCTGAGTTCTGGGATTTCAGGCGTGCGCCCCCGACGCCCGCCCCTAGTTTTCAAATAGTACGGGAGCCTGCATTGATCTAAGGCTGGCGCCTCCTAGGAAACCGCCCAAGTCCGCCACTGTGCGCCTGCGCGCCCCGAGAAGCGTGGCGACTAGAGCTCGGTCCCGCCTCCCAGGCTCCGCCCACTTCCGGCCGTGCCGCCCCCGCCCACCTTGCGTTTCCTCATCCTGCGCTTGGCTTGGCTCCACCAACCTCGCTTTTGCCCGGCGCTGTCCCTGTCGTCCACAGCCGTCTGTCTTCCACGGCGTGTGTTGTTTGCGACGCTGTCGTGTCACAGCGCGCTTTACGGCCGCGAGGACGGGGCGCTCGGGCGCCAGGGCCACTCGGGCCGGGAAGCAGGGCGGGCGGGCGAGGTTGATGCCCGGCGGCGGGGCGAGCGCGGCGTCTGGCCGGCTCCTCAGCGCCGCGGAGCAGAGGGGGGCCCGGGAGGCGGCGGCGGCGCCCAGGAGCGGCCCGGGGGGTCCCGGCGGCAGGGGCGGAGCGGGCGGCCCCGGGCCGGGGAGTGCAGGCCCGGGGGGCTCGGCGGGCAGGATGAGCCTGAGCCCGAAGGAGCTCTCGAGCCTGCTGAGCATCATCTCTGAGGAGGCGGGCGGCGGCAGTACCTTCGAGGGCCTGTCCACCGCCTTCCACCACTATTTCAGCAAGGCCGACCATTTCCGCCTGGGCTCGGTGCTCGTGATGCTGCTGCAGCAGCCCGATCTGCTGCCCAGCGCGGCGCAGCGGCTCACTGCGCTCTACTTGCTGTGGGAGATGTACCGCACCGAGCCGCTGGCCGCCAACCCCTTCGCCGCCAGCTTCGCGCACCTGCTCAACCCCGCGCCGCCCGCGCGCGGTGGCCACGAACCCGACCGCCCGCCGCTCTCAGGTGCCCGGGTGTGGGGCGGGGTCGGCCGGGCGATCAGCGCCTCCTTCCCTACCGCGATGAGGCGGGGAACGGGGTAGCAGGGTTGCACATCCACGCACAGCACCCAGAATCCTTCCTGTCCTCCGTGCAGGTCAGCGGCTCACCGGAGGGCTTGGCGTCTTGAGGGTAGGAAGTATGGTTCATTCTAGTGAAGCGCATAGGCGTGTGGGGTCATGATCGGTGGCTCATTGAATCCGCACTAGTTTTTTAAGAAGTTATTTTTATGAATGCATGTTTGCAGTACGTATTGATTAAATTTTTCGTGGGGAGTTGGTACTGGTACATAACACATTTGAACCGCTCCCGTTTTGAAGTGTCCGAGGAGTAATAGAGGTTAATATTAGGAAGTCGAAGGAGTTTTTGGGTAGAAGCAGCATGTAAGGGCTTCGCAGCCGCGTTTCTTAGCGTGTTACAGTGTGATGGGGGCCGGAGCCTCGAATTCACGTTTCCTCCAACGCGTGTCTCCTGGGCATTGTGCACAGAGTGCAGCTTTAGGGACATCAAACCTTCGTTGGATGGGAGGCTGTTCTGCTGTTTTTTGGTGCTGGGATCCAACCCAGGATCTCCCACGTGCTAGGCAGTGCTAGCCAAGTGCTCTGCCTCTGAGCTGCACACCAGCCCGAGGCTCAGTGTTCTCAACTTCAGCAGATGCGCGCACAGATGGGATAAGAGGACCCAGAGAACTCTTGACAGGCCTCAGTAGTGGGGGGAGCAGGTAGATGGGTGGGAAGCAGCTTGATCTTGCATCCTTAGCCAGGAGAAGAGGCAGACCAGTGAGGCAGTAGATTTGGCGGTAACACCAGGGTTTTTGGTGGCACAGGAAGGTTTCTGCGTTAGAAGTTAGGAAGTGTTGCCACCCCTCTGGATCTGAAGCAGTCTGTGCTTTTCTATGCTGTCCCTGCCTGAGAAGGCCTCTATGTTGAACTGAGATGGTTGGGGAGTATAGGTCATTCATCCCACCTTCAGGAGATTTGTAACTGCCCACAAGGTGAATGCATCAGCTAGATCTGTGGTCAAAACCTGCCCCTGAAGCTGCTTATGTTGGGGGGATAGTGTGGGATTTAGGTCAGAAGCCCAATGAGTTCTGAAGGGCAGGTTAGGCAGAGTAATTCTGTCATAAAGTCGTTTTCCGATGGGTGAGTGTAAACCTACATCTATACAAAGCATTGTAAAATTTGGAGGGGAGAGAAGGCAATTACCAGAGAAGGAATCCATGAATTTGTTATTAACTCTGTGTGCCTCAGTTTCTTCACCTTGAAATGCAGACAGTAGTAATTCCTAGCTGGTAGAGTTGTAATATTAAGTATTCTCCATTATTATCATTACCATTATTAAAGTAGATAAGAATGGTGCTTAAATACACGTGAAAAGGAAATACTAGTATCGACGCTCCCCTCCTAGGGGTTCTATTACTGTGTGTTTAGGGTGAGCATCTAATGGGTGTATGGTGTTATAGTCATGTTGTTTGTAGTGGCAGGGACTGAAAAGCACTTTACCACTGAGCTACACCTCCAGCCTCGTGGCTATATTTGTAGAAAGTTTATTGGATGATTCTGATAAGTTAAGATTGAGGATGTATTTGGAAGTACAAAAGATGGCTTCCTGAACACTCTCGGTCTCGTTGGGGAAACAAACATAATCATAACAGTATGGTAAAAGCTTTTACTAGATGTGTGGTGCAAGATGCTCCTAGCAGAGGTACAACCTGTGGAGCTCAAGGTTCCTAGAATAGTGATATTTTTGCTGGATATTGACCAAGGGTGGGGTAGCATTGAAAGATGTGACTCTGCCAGGTATTGTTAAAGAATGGGCTGTAGAGTCCAGGGATTTTGTCCATGTGGAGCACAGAATACATGAATGGGAGGGGAATTGAAGTGAGGTTAAGAAGGCAGTTGGGCTCTAGGCTATGAGTGGTTTTGTGGAAGTTTGAGTTTAATTCTGTGTAACCAAGTCAAGTGCTATGATGATATCTGTATGTTAGAAATACAACTAAATGGTTAGGGAGAGCGGAGACTGGATGGTGGATTGGCAGGGGTCAGAATTGGGATGATACAACCTTGACCACAGCCAATAAAAAAAGAGAATTAAGGGCCAGGGATTTAGCTCAGTGGATCCACCGCCTGCCCCGAAAGTGCAAGGACCCAAGTTTGACCCGCGGTACCAAAAAAAAGTATAAGAAGAAAAAAAAAAAAAGAATCAAGAAACAACAAAAACAGACTAGGAGTTGGGGAAATCAGGAAGTCTGAGCTGCAGCCCAAGTAAGAGGAGGGGCACGGGGCTGGGATTGAGGGACTTTGCTGGATGGAGTCTGAGTTAGTGGGGGATGTTGCTGGCGAAGGCATGATTGCATGTGGGTCAAAAGGGAACGCTCAGCCCTGTGGGAAGGTGTCCTGAAGGAGGTGCTGTGTGTCTCCATGGATTGCTTCCTTCTTTCCTCCTTTACACAGTCACTGTCTTAGGACTGAATGCTATACTTCTGACAGTTTTTTTGCTTCATATATAAGCTTTAGTCTTTGGTGGAATTGTGGTACTTTAGGAAACAAAGTTCTTAAGTTACCCAATGAATTTCATTGATAGTGGCACAGATTGCATGATTTCAAATGACACATTGAGTTACAGAGTTCATAAATTATGTATTTAACGGAAGCAGTTTTAGGTTTTAAAATACATAGGTTGACACAGCAAGTAGCAGTTTTACCAATGAAATTAATTTTTAAAATCAAGCTTTGGAGAAATTGTTATGCGTTTCTGTTTACAGGATTTTTACCTCCTATAACTCCACCAGAAAAGTTTTTTCTTTCCCAGCTGATGCTGGCACCCCCAAGGGAGCTCTTCAAAAAGACTCCTCGACAGATTGCACTGATGGACGTGGGAAACATGGGCCAGTCCGTGGACATCAGTGGGCTCCAGTTAGCCTTGGCTGGTAAGGAGCAGTCAGCTTTGGGCTTTATCTGTGCTCACCATGTGCTACTTTGTAACCTTCATCTTGCTGAGGTTCAGATCTTTCATTAAAAAAGGCTTTTCAGTACTGGATCCTAAATGGAAGTCTCTTCATTTTTTTATGCTGTTATGGCATATAAATTCCTGACAAGCTGGGCATGGTAGTACACGACTCTAATTCCAGTGCCCTGGGAGGCTGAGGCAGGATGATCACAAGTTTGAGTTCAGCCTGGGCAATGTAGCAACTTCGTGAGACCCTGTCTCAAAATAAGAATAAAAAAAGGACTGAGGATGTAGCCATTGTGAAAGCCCTGGGTTCAATCACCGGTACTGGAAAATACATAAATAAAATTTCTGGCAGCTGGGGATTTAGCTCAGCGGCACCATGTTTGCCTCGAAAACGCAAGGTCATGAGTTTGATCCCCGGTACCAAAAAAATAAAATAAAATTTCTGGCAAACATATTAGTTTTACCATACAATTTGCCAATTTTAAATTTTTTCCAACATCTTGGTCCATAGTATGTTATCTAATTTTTGGACTTCCATAATCTGAGATGAAAAATGGCATTGATGTAATATTAGTTGCCATTATTCTTTCTAAATCAACAAGGTTGATCATCATGTCCATGCCTAAGGCATCCATCTTTTTTTTGGTACTGGGGATTGAACTCAGGACCTTGTGCTTGCCAGGCAGGCATGGCACTACTGAGCTACAACCCCGGCCCAACATCCATCTTTCCATATATGCCTTTGGCCATTTTTCCTTTAGGGTGATGGTCTTGAAACAGGAATTTAGCCCTCTGTATTTTTAAAATGAGAAGATCTGAAATAGTACTTCTTAAAACATGCATTTACATTTTAAGGAATTACAATAAAGTCAGCCTGGAGCAGTTGCCATCCAGGCTAAGAAATGGAATGTGCTAGGTATGGCTGCACACATCTCTACTTGGGAGGCTGAGGTCGGAGGCCTTGAGCTCAGGAGTTCAAGACCAGCCTTGGGCAATGCAGCAAGACCCAGTCTCAAAAAAACCCCAAAACAGTGACTCCCTGTGTTTCTCTTCCCTATCCCTAACCTTTGTGATAATCTTTCTGAGTTATGCATCCCTGAAGTGTCATTATGCACACCATTGCACTTTATATATATGGAATCATACTATATTCTTTTATTTCTTTGGGTATCAATTGAGAGATGACTCTGTTGGCAGCATGTCACCCCAGTGATTACTTTTCATTGCATACAGTGGAATACCAAGTCTACATGGACATAACATTGCTTGAACATTTCTGTATATTCTTCTATGGTACATGTGATAGTGTTTCTAGGTAGAAAGATACGCACTTGTAAAACTTTACTAGGTAGTGACAAATTGTTTTCCAAAGTTGCATTTTTCATTCCTAGCAGCAGTATGAGTTCCCTTATAGCCTTCACCATTTTATTGCCAGATTTGTTATTTTTTGCCAATCAATCAGGTGAGTGTGTAATAGTCTCTTCTGTTTTAACTGAACTTTGCCTAGTTTCTGACATCTTTTCTAGCTGTTCATTGGTCATTTGAACTTTTTTTTTGTAAATGCCTGTTAAAGCTTTAGTCTATTTTTTCCCAATGGGATATTCGTTTTTAGGAATGAGAAAGTGTATTTTGTATGCACAGAGAGAATCTGGCCCTTTGTTTTTGTGTGTTACAGTCACATAACCCAGTTAGTAGCTTGTGTTTTCACTCCCCTCATGGTGTCTCAATTTTTAAATGTCTCCTATTTTAACTTCTCTCAGAGCGCCAGTCAGAACTGCCAACGCAGAGTAAAGCCAGCTTCCCTAGTATTCTCAGTGACCCAGACCCGGATTCTTCTAATTCTGGATTTGACAGCTCAGTGGCTTCTCGGATCACAGAATCTTTGGTCAGTGGACCCAAACCACCTATTGAAAGTAGGTGTATATATAAATCCATTTTACACTCTTCATTTATTAGTATCCCCTAGAACCTTTCGGGTTTTTTAGAAATCTTGTATTTTCATTAGTAAACTTGAATTTAATGTGAAACTTCCTAAGATAGTGTGTACAATAGAACTGCTCAGTGCAAACTCATTTTCTTTTAAAAAAATTATACACAAATTTATTACATTTATCATAAACAGGTATAAACTGATTTTACTGAATCTGTTTTTTAAAAAATTCTTTTATTGGTACATTTTATGTATACATTTACATTTATCACCTGTACATGATGTATCTTGGTTCTTATTTTTTTCCCCATTACCTGTGTGCCTTTTACCCCCTCCACCCTTCCCTATTTACATAGATTTTGTTTCCATTTTTTTTCCTCATAATTTTTCCTTTCCTTTTCCCTACTGAATCTATTTTTGAAGCTAATTCCCTAACAAGGAAGTAGTTTTATACCTCTTTAATAATCTTACCACTGTCTTTTCCACTTGAAAGTTTTACAGATTTTAGAGCTCTTAATTATCTTAATTCAAAGAAACACGTACTGAACTTAAGATAATGTAGCTGTCTCTTTTGGTTCTGCAGCCATCCACTTGGAGTGATGGTGAAGGTGTGCTGCTGCTTAGTGATAAGAACATGCTGTCTGGACCATAGGTCACTGGGAATTTGAAACTTCACTGTGACTTCATATCACTTGGTTTGCACTAGAGCTTTGGCATAAGTAGGTGGAGCATTTAAAGTTGTAGTCAGTCACATGTGCCTGCAGGTCTCTGGCAGTTTGTATTTTAGTACAGTAATTGCTCAGGCACAACTCTGAATTGCCTGGGTCACCAGGAAGGCACATGCAAAGCACATCGCTCAGAATGCGTCTGGCCACACTGCAGGCATCCCAGGCTCCCACAAGGTGTGCTGGTTCCAATCTTGGGTTGAAGACTTGCTTTCTCTTTTAAGTGGTCTGAGAGTCTGATGCTGGTCATGAAAGGGCGGTGCATGGTAAGGCGACGATGGAGGTGTTTTGACGATTTTCAGCCAGAAAGCAGGTGATGGCACTAAATAATAATGTCTACTTTGGCAGGAATAAGCCACCACTGCCCTCTGGAATCCACAATTAGGCGTGACGTTGATTCAGTAGAGGTTCCAGCTGCAGTTCGTCTTAGTGGAAGTGTCACACATCAACTTTGGGTTTTTTTGTTGTTTTTTGTTTTTTTCCCTCTGGTACCAGGGATCAAATTCAGGAGCTTGCACTTGCAAGGCAGGCACAGCTCCACTGAGCTGATTCCTTGGCCCCACATCAGCTTTATTTTATAAAATAGCTTAACGAGTCCCTTCACTCTATTGTACTTTGTTTCATTAAAATATGGTATTGTAGCACTTCAGCATTCATGAATTATTCTGTATTCATTTGAAAATGTCAAAAAAGTCAACCAGTATATGTACCTTCTTCAGTCATTTCATCAAAATGTCACTTTAGTGTTACAAGGTGCAAAGATAAAACGAGTACAAATGTTAGTGGTCTCTGAGCAAAACAGTGGCAACTAAGAACAGAATGAGTAAAGACAAATAGGATCTCATCTTCCTATCAAAGACTTACTCACTGAGCAGTGGTCATGTTTAAATTAAAAGCTGTCAGATCATGGCTACATTTTCTTCTAGCCAAAAAGGAATAGGCTTAGCCTCTGCCATGGTGCTCTTAACAGTTTTCTTGTATTCCTGTTTGTATTCTGCACAAAATCCTTTCTGTAGCATTCCTACTTATCATTTTTAAGTGTGTGAGTTTTATACTTCATGAAGTGAAATGCGTGTGAGATGTGTACAGATGTTAGCTCACAGAAGCAGTCACACACCACTTTTATTACAGGCCATTTTCGGCCCGAATTTATCCGTCCACCACCTCCGCTGCATATTTGTGAAGATGAACTGGCTTGGCTCAATCCCACAGAGCCCGACCATGCGATTCAGTGGGATAAGTCCATGTGTGTTAAGAATAGCACCGGGGTGGAGATCAAGCGAATCATGGCCAAAGCCTTCAAAAGTCCCCTATCGTCTCCCCAGCAAACACAGGTACATGCGTATTACAGACATTTTTTAAAAAAATCCATCAGTTATTTATAAATGGAGCAGTAGATGAAAATACTGCAGGCACGAGCCAGCAGTAGGAGTCTCAAAGGTGTCTGGACCCCAAGCTCAGTTGTACCCCTACCCCTTTTGATATTTTGGCTCTGCTGGAGCAAGAGGTCTGATTTAAAATTTCAACTGGCTGAGGATTTAGCTCAGTGGTTTTGCTGCCTGCTGCACAAGCGCAAGGACCCGAGTTCAATCCCTGGTACCAAAAAAACCATGGATCCTAAAATATTTCAACTGTTGTGAACAGTTTGTCTCTGGGAGAGGTGGAATGGGGGGGTGTCTTACTTTGGGGGGCTCATCCCTGCTGTGTACCACCAAGCACTTTATTGTCCTTGCATGAGTGGGTGACTTGGAAAATGAGCCCAGCACACAGCTGGGGGGGGGGGGGGGTGTCCAGACGTGAAAACAGCCCCAGTCTCATGGAGGGATTGAGTGGCTTCCCTTGGGAGAGGCAGGGCATTCTTTCGAGAAGTTTCTTTTTGGTGAACTGCTTTCAGTCTGCACATTTTCAAGTTAGAACTAGTAGAGATACAGCTCCAGTTTATTCTCAAAAATATTTTGAAAGTCAAGTAATTGATAGCTATCCTTATAATCTGCTTTATTAGACCACGCTGAAACAGTCCACTGCAGATAGGGAAAAGAGCATAGAAAGTTTGAAAGAAGATACTCACTTGGCCAAAAAAGTGTTTCTGAGGACATCTGGAATTGCAAAGTGTGGGTGTGTATGGGTGTCACAGGGGTGACTTGCAGGAGGTTCTGGCCTGGCCCCTGCTGGGTATTTCTGTTCTCTGCTTGGGCAGAGTGGGGCTGGTTGCTGCTGTTGTCTCCTAATTCTTTGTGGTTTGGGGGAGAACTTGTTGGTAATTAGATTATTCCCCTCCACCCCGAACTCAGGACCTTGTGCTCGCCAGGCAGGCCTGGCACCAGTGAGCTAAATCCCCAGACCAGATTGCTTTTAACAGATGATAGGAAAAACAATTCTACAAAGGACTAGGGAATGATACATTGTTGCCATCAGACAATACCGTATCTAACCAGACAATATCCAGTCTAGTTTCCTATTCAGGAATCATCAGTGGATTTGTAAATTGCCTTTTATGTTTTTAACTTCAGTATTGTCACAGTTCGTATCTAAATCATGGGTTTGAAGAAATTTAAGAAATCGGTTCATTGAAAATGTTTTTATGTAAAATACTTATTTTGCCTTCAAGAAAATTGCCAGTTTGACTCAACCTTTTTTCTTTCAAAATCTGGTTTTCTTTAGCTCCTTGGTGAGTTGGAGAAAGACCCCAAACTTGTTTATCACATTGGCCTCACTCCAGCCAAACTTCCAGACCTAGTGGAAAACAACCCTCTGGTTGCTATAGAGATGCTGCTGAAATTAATGCAATCCAGCCAGATCACCGAGTACTTCTCTGTCCTGGTCAACATGGACATGTCCTTACACTCAATGGAAGTCGTAAATCGGTAAGTGTCCCTACCCTTTCACCTACGTGTAGACACAGAGATCATGATTAATGGCCAGAAGGGAAAAGCTATAGCAGTTTTTTTTTTTTTCCTGCTCAAGTCTCAGATGACCCGTTAAGGAGATAATGTGAGCCTCATGTTCAGGGCATGTGAATTTAGCATCCATTAGGAAGAACTATGAGGCTAGGATTCCAACATACTTTGTATTAATAAGAATTAAATTTAATTGCTGAAATTTATGTCCCCATGTAATTAAAATCACCTGCACTCTTAGATATTATACTACTTATTTTATCTGGGAGACTAAGAGCTGTAGCATGGAAAAGGACAGGTCTCACTTCTCAGACCCTGATTGGCTCCTTTCTCTGCTGTCACTGGCCATCAGGAAAGGGTGCATTTCCTTCCTCACAGGTTCTGGACATTTGCTGCATATCTTGCATTTTCTTTACATTTGTATTTTCAGTAAATTACAAATGACATGGCCTTGAAGGGGAACATGTGGGAGCCTTAAGTGCCAGCCAGACAAGTATAGTTAGAGCAGTTTTTGAACACCTTGTAAGTTGGATATTTTTGGTGTGGTCCTGGGGATTGAACCCAGGGTCTTCTACATGCTAGACAAGGACTACCACTGAGATACATCCTCAGCCCTTTTTAATTTTATACTCAGAGACATATGGTCGAATTATTGCTTAATATGTTTCCTCTGGCTTGAACCACCAGTGGTACATATGTGGGTGTCCCATTCACTGGTTTGTACTGGTCTTTTTACTAATAAACTTAAAAAGCTGGTGGATGGAACAGTCATGCATGTACCACTAGTGGTTCATTCTCCCCAGCAGTGAGACATTTGAATTACGGCTGTCACGAACATGTTAATAAGAAACTGCAGCGTGTAGTGGTAAGTATAGACTTAAAAACAGAAGTGTCACTAATGAATAAGTAGCTGTGGGTTTGGGGTTTATTTCCCAAGAATATGTAAAACTAGAAAATTGGGACCACATACCAGAAATTTTCACCAGATGATCATAGGCAGCTTTGTATGCTATGGCAGCAAATAACTAACAGCCCCATTTTTCTTTTATGCAACAGACTAACTACAGCTGTCGATCTACCTCCTGAATTTATTCACCTTTATATATCAAATTGCATCTCTACTTGTGAACAAATTAAGGATAAGTATATGCAGGTAATAAAAGTTTCTGTGAGTTTCATAAATACCTACTAGAAAAATGAGTAAACTAAAACTCATGTTTTCTTTTTCAGAATCGCTTGGTGCGTCTTGTGTGTGTCTTTCTCCAGTCCTTGATCCGTAACAAAATTATTAATGTGCAGGACTTGTTTATTGAAGTACAGGCTTTCTGTATTGAATTCAGTAGGATACGAGAAGCTGCAGGCCTGTTCCGGTTGTTGAAGACACTGGATACTGGGGAGACACCTTCAGAGACCAAAATGTCAAAATAATACCTCACTAGAAGCACCCTATTCATTGTTCAACGGTATTGTGATTCATTTTTAAAACTATTTTTTAAAATTCAAGAGTGGATTGCTTGCTCTAATACATAAACATTTATGTACTTAAAGCAAAATTTTGCTTTTCCTGGATGACTTTTTTTTCCCTATAGATGAACTTTTGGTAAGGACCTGGGAAAAAGTGTCTTGATAACTATCCATAAATGGACCCCTTATCCCCAAAAAAGATATCGAAAGAAAGGAGGTGATTCATTCTTATTCCTTTTTTTGTGGTAGAACTAAAGAACAAACTGCCTGTTTTTGGTTAAAAGGCAAGATACAGGGTTCTGTCCAGTTTTCCTAGGGTTCCAGTGTTAAAGACATTTTAAGAATTTAATACTTTGCTTGTGGCAGTGACAACAGTTGAGTGTAGCTCTTACCATCTCTTGAAGGCGCCTGAACCAAGGCTGCACTTGTAATTGTCCTGCTTTTTGTCCTGGGCCTCTTCTAAATATGGGAGCTTTTTCAGGAATCTTTTCTAGGATTATTTTCTTTTATTCCCCACTTGAGATGGTCCTGTTATTAGCCATTTTTTGGTCTTATTTTTAAGGAAAAATGAGTAATGTTTTGGGAAGTGGTGTCACCCCCAGGAGCCGTTGCCTGTGGGGGGTTGGAGATGGGAGCAGGGGTGGTGCCTGGCTGTCATCCCATGACTTTGGATAACAGTGCCTTCCATTAAAGTTCTTTATTACCAAGTCTGTTTTTACTTGAAGAAATCACAAAAAATTTTTTTTGCAGAGGTACTTCCAAAGCATATTTACAGGGAAATAACCTATGGAGGAAACCCTGAGAAAGCACAGTACTTGAGACTGATAAGATCTACATCTTGGTTATTCTTAGGAAAGTAAGGGTTTGTTTGTATGTTTGCTCAGAGGAAAATACAGTAACGATCTAAGCCTGTGCAATAGGAATGTCTTCAAATGACTCAAAGAATAGCAACAAGGCTGATCTCTTAACACTGAAAAGCATGCACCTTTTGTGCAGATTAGCATTGGTAAAAAAGAGTTCATTCTAGAGCACTTCTACAATGGTAATTTCAGTGATGGCCATTGCTGGAAACAGTCCCATCTTAGGTTCCATGCCTGATGGATTCTTGAGCAAAATACAATGCAGAACTGCAGGCCAACAGCACATTAACTTGAGCTTGAGTGCAGGTGTCTGCACTTGCTCAGGGGCCACTTAAGCAGTGAGGCAGCCAACAAAGTACAAAATACAAAGCATGGCACTACAACCAGGGAGAGGATGTTTAAGTTCAGTGCACTGTCCCCTTGCTCAAACTCAGGAAGGTGTTTTCATCCCCATTACTGCCAGAAACCTAAAACTAAGTGTGCAACTCAAATTTTTCACTTCTCTGCACGCATCTGCAAAAGGGTTGCATGTGATACTTGGGGGTCATAAATTTTGGGCAAATTCTCAAACAGGAATTCAAAACATAATGAGGAAATGTGGCATTTGCCTGAAAGAGATTGCTTACAAAGAGTAATGGAGGAGATTTTATAAAAAAATAAAAGTTATACCACCACCAAGCAGGCTTTTTTTTATTTTTAGTGCAGTGTCAGGGACTAAACCCAGGGGCTCACATGCTAGGCAAACACTACCACTGAGCTATGTTTCCAGTCTTAATTTTTAGACAGGATCTCACAAAGTTGTCCAGGCTGGACGTGAACTTGTGTCCTGCCTCAGCCTCCTGAGTAGATGAGTCCAGCACAAAGTCTCTTGTTTAGACATATTTAAAAGTAAAATAAGCTGGACATGATGCCTGTATCTGCAGTCCAGCTACTCAAGAGGCTGAGTGAGAAGGATCACTTGAATTTAGGAGTTGGAAACCAGGAGCAGCAAAATAAGACATCTCAAAAAAGACCATCTACCTGAAGTAAAACTATAATCTTGAGATTCAAATCATTTTAAGTGTAATTAAACGAGTTTAACGCAATTTAAACAAAACACCTTGAATTCTTGGGATTTTTTTCTTTAGTTCCAACTTCCAACATCTTCAAATGACCTGTTGAAACAGGACAGCAATTAAGTAACAGCATAGAAAGAGAAGTTATTTCTAAAGAAAATAGTCTGGGATCCTAAAATACAACCACTCCAACAATTCTCATCAATAGTATTTTATTCATGTGAACAGCTTTACAACAATGGTATCACTCGATTTGCTTAGCATATACTCATTTACCGTTAATTTTGAATAACACACCATTTATGTATTTTAAGTGACTTGTGTTCCATGGAGAATGATACTCCTTTAAAAACATGGGATATTTAGAAAATAAATGAACAGGAAGAAATTTTTTTTTTTTGGTACCGGGGATCAAACTCGGGTCCTTGAGCTTGCGCAGCAGGTGGTGAAACCACTGAGCTAAATCCCCGGCCCAGGAAGAACTTACTACAAATCAGAATTCTAGCAACCTCTGCTTACTAAAACTCTAATTTTGTTTTATATCTTTTGTTGTTATGTAATCATTACTGTTCATATCAGAAAATTCTCTTAAGATGATCAAAAGTAATCAGCTGACAGGAAATACTGCTATTCCCTAGTTTTTCACTAGCCTACCTACCATAGAGGCCCACAATTCATCAGCTTGGCAGGTTTCTCATAGCTTTTTTTATACTTTGTTGTACAAAGGGAATATCTCTGCATGACTGATTATGACATAGTAGACATTTCACTTTTATAACAAGTAATACAAAGACTAATACTCTGAAAATGAAATCCTGAGAAGTGTTTTTAAGGCCTTAAAGTATTAGCTCATAAAGGTGTGGGTGGCTTTTCTAATTAGTTGTGTCAGAACACAACATATGTTACACCACAAAACTATGCTTCAAGCCAACACACTGAACCTTTAGAAATTGTACAGCAGGGTTTATACCGAGCCTGCAGAAACTGCTTTCGACTAAACATAATTATCTCAAGTTCTAGTTAGCAATATATACATCCTGATTTAATTTCATCCCTCATTGAGCAAATAAACTTTAATGTGCTTAAAAGACACTGCTGGCAGCTTAAGCTATGGGAGTTTACACTTGTATTTCATCCACGTGGACTCACGGCACACTTGAAGTTCTATTCATTTGACAATTCTAAGTTTTTGGTCAGGCATTTACTACCTGGCCTGGCACGAAGCTTCCACCTTGGCACTACTGAGGTCAGACTGGTGTTTCGCTTCAAGAGATTTTGTCACTGTGTACCCCCACAGAGAGCAAACTGTTCATGGGGACACTGCAATTCGGCCTTTTACTATCATCATTCCTCAGTAGGCACAGAGCAACCTTGCAGGGGAAGGGCTACATGCTCAAGACCCAAAGGAGCCAGCACTTGAGAAGCTATTACCTGCCAGTGGGACCCCGTGCTCACAGTTCTGTGGCCGTGTGTTTTCTGCTGGGAAACAGGGCATGCCAAGCAGAACGGCAGAGTGAAGAAGCCAGGTGGGTGGGCAGGAAACCACAGCAAGCTTTGGTGTCGCAGACTTGGTGTCACAGACATGCTGCCTCCTTCACACTGTCACCTATAGTTTTCAAAGTTAAAAAATAATTGCTCCACTTTGTAGCAAACAAATGGCTTTCATGACAACTGTTAGATGGAAAGTGATTATTGCCATCAACAACTAAACCAAATCTAGGATTTATTATACCTTTCACTTACATCCCCCATATTCCCGGCATCTCACCAACTTTATAAAGTTTCAGCACAGAATCTGGTAACAATTATGGAAAGCTGTTTCCACAGCTGCTGATTACAAAATCACACTTCTGTAATGATCACAAACAAGTTCCCTTGTTCAACAAGTACTGGGATTATTAAAGCTTACTTCCCTAGTTTGTCTCTTCAAAGACAAAGAGGAAACAATCTACTTGGCACAGAAACACAAATGTATGTTCTTATTTGCACTGACCACAAAAGGTAGATTTTAAATGTAACACCTGTTAAGGAAACTAACTTTGAGGCTGTCTGCTAAAACAAGTGCTCAAACTCAGACAAATTTTCTATTTCAGTACTTCCTCATATTGAAACATTGTACAGCCCATTTCAGCAAAACTACTGATCAAGTATTTTATAGTGGACCCTTGAGTTATGAACTCAATTTGTTCCCAAGGGCAACTGTAACTCAAGTTGGTCAACTGCAGGTACAGGCTCCTCTACACAGCCTTCAAAGTCTCTCCTGCATACAGGCAGTGTTGGAAAGACACTGGCCCAGGATTTCTCAGTTAAGCCTAGGAAAGGACATTGTAATGTTTCTTCCAGAACTCTTTAAGGGTTAAATCTGTATCTGAGACTATCTGGAAGCACAAGTGGCTGGTATCTGGGTTGTAACTCAAGACTTTATTCATAGGTTAAAACTAAAATTCTGACCATAACCCAAGTTGTTGTGTCATGCCGGTCGTAACTTGAGGGTCCACTGTACTATGCAGCTGGAATCAAAATGGGCACAACAAACTGACAAAGTAAGCTTTATAGACATATAAGCTAAGTCTGTAGTAAGAATAAAATTCTTTATAATTTTTAAATTATACTTTCCTCAACATACATTTATTTTTGCAATAGATACACCTATTAACTAGTTTTAAAGCAATGAAGGACTGTAATTCCACATTCTAAAAAAACTAATTGCCTCATAGGCCCTGAACTCCCTCATGTACAAAGTGAGAAAAGAGATGTGTGATCTGATTATAAAACTTAGCAGTGTGCAGACGCTTCACCTCTAACCTAAAGGATGAACAACAAATGGGTAAGAGATGACAAACGGTTAAGCAATGTCTTGTACAGTGGTACCTCGGTTCATAAAGGCTTTCATTTGCAAGCAATTTGGTTTGTAAACAGAAGTGTTTGGCAAGATTTTGTTTTTGTTTTCAAACTCTGCACTGAGTGACAAACACAATTACCGCCATCTTTCCTGCACGAACATGAATGTGGCCATCTTTTTCAGACTTGTGGAATGATTGAAGTTCATGAACTGAGGTACACTAACTAAAACTGGTTATTTTTTCTAACAAAAATTAAAATTCTTCATCTATTATCACTTTAACTGTGAAGACTGTTACACTTAGAATTAATTTGATGTGTGATTGAAAAATACAGAGAATGTTTAATATTTATTACAGTCTAAGATACAGTGCCATTAATCCCCCTCAAAGAACATTCCCTCATTTCAAACACACTGATCCCATGTTTCTTGCCACTTTCTGAAGCAGTTCTGTAAGTCCTCTTTCCTGAATGTCTTTAGTTACCCTGTTGGATACTAAACTTTTGCATCAATGTCCTGAATGGATTCAAAATGTTTACCTTTCATAGTCACTTTGATTTTGGGGAAGAGGCAGAAGTCACACGGTGCTAGATGCAGTGAATAAGGTGGAGAAGGATGCACTATGATCTGCCTTTCAGTTACATGTTATGAAGCAGCAATATTCAGCATATTTTTGGTCATGTGTTGTAAGACGCTCAGGAAAAAGGTCTGCATTCTGCTGATTTGTAAACCTAGCTGCCTTACCCACCTTCTTTATTTTTGTCCACTACTTCAAACTGCATTATCTTAGTTCTAGGAGGGCATCTGAGAGGGACCAGGGCAACCTGCAAGGCAATACCGGTGACAAGGGAACGAGATGGCAGGGAAGTGCAGAGGCCGCTTTTGAAGGGGATGGCTCAGGTTGATTCCGCCTTTAAATGCCTCCAGGGTGCTCACCTGCACAGTAAATTTAAGGTTTTTTTTCTGGAGTCTGAAGGCAACGGACAAACTCACACTGATGTGCATTTGGGCTCAGTGGAACAGGACTCCTAAAAATGAGAGCTATCTATATATAGACACTGCCTGGTGGGGAGGTCCAGGCTCAGCCGGAGAGTGGGTGAAGAGATCCACCCTACGACTTCATGACTCCAGGTTTCACAATGCTTCCTCCCCTCTCTGGCACTGTTTCATCTGTGTCTGCTGCACACAATTCACTCTGAACTTGACTACTTGGAAAAATATGCTACCTATTCCAGAATGCAAAGCTCAAAAGCATCAATTCTTTCCGGTGGCAACAATCTGTAAGTTATTTTTATTCTAATAAAATTTCTGATGGAATTTTTTTTTACTTGGAAAAATGGTTTTAGACCTAAGCTTAAAAGAATGCAGAATAGCCCAGAATTGTTTTTTTTTAAAAAAAGAATAAAGATAAAACGAATTTGCCTTGGGCCGGGGGTGGGGGTGTGTGGATGTAACTGAGTGGTAGAATATTTGCCCACAGTGTGTGAAGCCCCGGGCTTGATCCCCAGTGCTGGAGAAAAAAAAATTGCAAATAATTATTACTTACTAAACTTTATGTAAGTACAACTGGTCAAGCATTTGGAAAAGATTAGTTAAATCTAGCACCTAAAATTATCTGCATTAAGATTTAAATGTGAAATACAAAAATCATAAATACTAGCAAAATACAAGTCTCTCACTATTTTTACAAACTTGAATAAGGTTCTATGTACTATGCTAGCAAATGCAGAATCATAAAAGAATAAAAAGGTGGACAAGATAAAAATTACACATTTCTATCTAGCAAAATGTAACAGAAGTCAAAGGATACAGAAGTAGGGGTGATGGTAGAGCATGGTGCCTAGCATGTACAAAGCCCTTGAGTCAATCCCCAGCATCAAGGAAAAAAAGGGGTAGATGGACAAAATATGCTGAAGACTTAATATTTTCAAATATTCTGACCATAACCTAAGTTGTGTCATGCCGGTCATAACTTGAGGGTCCACTGTCCATAAAGAGCCTTAAGAATTAATACGAAAAAACTAGTATCTCCATAGAAAAAAAAGCAAAAAACCCCCCAAAAAACAAAAAAAAAACAACCCAGAAGCTGAGGATAAAACAATCTGTAAGTGGAAAAAAAAAAAAATGAAAAAAGTGACCTGATCAGTAACCAAAAAATGATTCATTGTAATCTACCTACCAAAAAGATAAAACAATTAGGGGCCAGGGATTTAGCTCAGTGGTTCTGGCACCTTCCTCAAAAGCGCAAGGTCCCGAGTTCGAGTTCGATCCCCAGTACCAAAAAAAAGAGAAAAAGATAAAACAATTAAACAAATGGTAAAATTGTACAACACGGTTGCAAAGCATTACTGACAGTAAGTATCTATTAATAGTTAAAAGAAATTACATAAAGTTGCTGGGTGTGGCACCACACAGCTGTAAACTCAGCATTTGGGAGGCTGAGGCAAGAGGATCACCATAGTCTGAAGCTGGCCTTGGACTAGGCAGCAAGAGCCTGTCTCAAAAAACCAAACCAAAACAACAAAAAATCAAAATCTAAAATATACAGTAGGCACCTTGATTCACGAACTTGAATTTTTCCATAATTCTGGTGTCAAACCCAACTAGATGAGAACTGAATCAAATTTAATGGTTAGGTTCACTGTTGACCTTATGGGGAAATCTGATTTGGTTCTCGTCCAGTTGGGTTTGACACCAGAACTGTGGAAAGAACTGAGTTCCTGAACTGAAGTATTACTGGAGAAACTCACCCCTTTTTTTTTTGGGGTACTGGGAATCGAACTCGGGAACTTGGGGCCTTGTGCTTGCAAGGCAGGCACCAGAACCACTGAGCTAGATCCCCGGCCCACTGAAGTATGACTGTAATTCTAGGGAGTACAATACATCATCTATTCATTGATATGTGGTTTTATACTGTAAGAAAAAAAAAAGCAGGCTATGTAACAGCTTGTAAGTCATATGCTCCCATCCTTAAACAGGAAAGAAGATCTGGAAAGTTACTTATAAAGTTTGAAATGCTATTTCTAGGTATGAGATTATGGTTTTAATTTTTCCATGATGGCTTTTGCATGTACAAGTTTCTTAAAGACAACATGCTTATGGGCTGGGGATTTAGCTCAGTGGTGCCTCCACCTGCCTTGCAAGCGCAAGGTCCTGAGTTCAAGCCCCTGTACCAAAAAAAAAAAAAGAAAGAAAAAAAGACAACATGCTTAGAAACCCATGTCAGTCTCTTACCTAGCAATGCTGTGTTTTCCCGAGTCCTTGGCACACGTGACAGTGCACTGAAGCCCAGATTCACTGGTGGATGGTGACGAGGATGATGAAGATGATGGCAGGTTGCTGCCAATACTTCTGTCTTCACCAGGGAATGCTGCACTCAGCATTTCAGCAGAAACACTTCCAGGGCCAGACTCTGCAGCGGGCAGTGTCTGCCCACCCTCAGGCTCTCCCTGGGGAATCCCAACAGAAGAAATGCTTTTTTCTAAGTGACACAAATGTTACCTATCATTTTGCTAATAATTCATAGCAGACACCATTTACTTTTGACCACAAATTTGGAAAGAAGCACATCCCTTCTCAATAAGCAGTTTTCCAGCACCTATGTTTTCTCTTTGTAAAAACCAACATCCTCCTTTTGATACAAGCAACCTTTTAAAGCTATTTCCTGGCAGGGCTACTTTCCTACTCTCCTACCTCCTCAGGGAGATGACAGGAACTGGTCTGGCCTCAGACACACAGTCTGTCATACCCGAGGGCTGGGTCACCTTGCATCCCCTAATGCACTACTCCATCTTCCCAGGCACACCAGCATCGAGAGGGCCTCCTGTGACAGCCCCTCCTATGTGTGACTCTTGGCATGCTGTGTCTCTAGTATGCCCTGTCCTCACCAGTCCTGGAAACGAAATCCCCAGGAGTCCTTGGGCACAGGGGCTGTGGCTTATCTGCCTTTGTCTCCCAGAGCCCAGTTTAGATCTAATGCACCTAAGGCAGTCCTTTCACCAGTGCTCATCAGATAAACGAAAATGGTGACTAGTGCACACAGCTGGTTAAGGGTGCAAATCAAAGGATCCTCATAAGCCTGTTAGAGGGGCCACCGATGACTGTCACATGGATATGAGAAAATGTGGAACTAGCATGACAAGGCCATGGAGAATGTTCACTCCAGGAGGGGCCAAAAGGTCTAAAGATTTATCAATCAAAGGCAAGACAAACAAATTCCTCAGCCTCAAGGTTATTACTGACTTCTATCCTTCAAAAAACAAATCAAGCATTCTGAGAACATATGTTCTAGCATTCTGAAATTAATGTTCTAAGAATGCAACTTAACTTTACATAAAATGAAGACTGGATTTTTAATACATGAAATATATATGAAGCTATAGCTCCCAAAACAAAACTCAGGATGAAAGTCTGTGAGAGCTAAAGTCAGTGAAATTCCTTTATACAAATGTTCAGAAATGAAGGAGGTTAAAAATTACTAATGAAGAAAACAACTTGGTGTGAGCTGTAGTATGTGCTTGGTGAAGGATGAGCATTCTAAGACTTTGCTAAGAAAATGATCCATCAAGCTCCCCGAGTCCCATCATTGAAATGCTGAGCTGTGCTAAAACAGTTTCTGGAGCAGACAGCCTCAGCCTGTCAGGGAGGCACGCTGCACCACAAGGAAGACAGCTACAGTGGCTAACATGCTCACGAAGGGGCCGGAATTCCTACATCTCAGTGCCAGGCAACTTGAACCACTGGTGTGACTGTCCATCTGGCAGCTTTTTATTAATTTTTATTATTAGTCAGAAGACTGATAAAAATGATTAGGTCCATTTGTACCACCAATGGTATAAGCTGGTGGGAATATATTAAAAACCACTAAGTGAAAATTAGGAAATTGTGGAGGAAAGACAGATTTTCAGGACAGGAAAGGATGAAGAGGTGGTGGCAAGTCAGTTCTTGAATGCTGACCTCCCTCTTCCTGTGTGCTTACAGTGAGAATATCCTGGAACTCAGTCAAGACACAACCACACAGCAGAACTCAGTGGCTAAAAGCCAATGCACAAGCGTCCTGGCCACGCTTGCCTTCTGAGCGCACATGAAGCCCAGATGTTCTGGGGAGACCTGCAGCCTGGGAAGTAAAGGTCTTGCTCAGCAATGGCGTCAATTCCTCCGTGACAGCATTATACACGCTTAAATGGCTATCATGGCTTAAAGTGCATACAGTGAATACTACATAAAAGAATTCCTTATAGTTTCTATTCAATAAACCAGAAAAAACTAAAACTGTGTACCAACAAGAGAAATAAATTTGATGTTTAAGTTTTTTTTTTTTTTTCAAAGTTTTTAAATTTAAAAACTATTTTTTGGGCCAGGGATTTAGCTCAGTGGTTCTGCCACCTGCCTCGCAAGCATAAGGACCCGAGTTTGATCCCCAGTACCAAAATAAACAAAAACAAAAACAAAAAACCTATTTCTTCTTTGTATTCTGAGATATTAATAGACTGTAGTATGGATACTCTGAAAATACTACAAAATATAACCCAGAAAAATCTATTTTTTTCCTGCCTTCCTTTTTGGGAAAGATAGTAGTTCAGAACTTAGACCCAAGCATTAAGCAAACTTTGGTTTGAAAGCTGGACAAATTTCTCTGACATTAAATTTTGAAACCCAGGAACAGGGAGAACTGACATTTTAAAATACTGGCTTTTGGGCCGGGGATTTAGCTCAGTGGTTTTGCCACCTATGTGTAAGCACAAGGACCAGAGTTCGATCCCCGGTACCAAAAAAAAAAAGGCTTTTGTTTCTTGTTTCCTCATATATAAAACTGTACCTTAGGCCAGAAAATGATATGAGGTGTCTTCTGTTTCATACATTTTTTTGGGGGGGTACCAGGGATCACACTCAGGACCTTGTGCTTGCCAAGCAGGCAGTGGCACCACTGAGCTAAATCCCTAGCCGTTTCACACATTTTGATTTTTGTTTGTACAAAACTGGCTAGCATATACACATTTTGCAGTGCAGTATGTCAGAACATACTGTTCTAAGTAATTGTAAACTCTGGGAAACATCCTAGCATAGTATTCTATCATAAATTTAGTTCACTGATTTGTTTTGGACTACTTTAAGAATCACTTTTACTAAAGAGAACAACTTATTTACAAAACCAAAAGGAATATCTCATCTGTTCCTCTTGCCTCTGGTCAATAATGAAATGGAATCACTCAGGAAGAGCTGGGGCAGAGATAAAATAAAAACAGAAACGTAACAAACCCAATATCCCAGGGCTTTGATGACATCAAGTTTACACATTGGACATGTTCGGTGATCCAAAAGCCATGGGTCAATGCATGTGCTATGAAAAATATGCCTAAAAAGATTAAGTATGTGTTAATGTTTTAAAATAAATGTTTATGTATTTTATAAAGAAAGTGAGACATTCTATCAACTCACCCCTCTTTACATGGTAGCCAACATAAAAGCAACATTCTAGTCCAGTCACTTAACCTAAGTCATTATCTATTCCACTTTCCACTTCCAACAGATTTTCCCCTTCACTCCACAAACAGCATGGCTTATTTCTACTTTGTGCTAGGCTGTAGTTTTATGTGCTTTAGTAAGTTATTTGCATGACTTTTGGGATTAAAAGTGGCATGAACTAATATTAAACTGAGAGTGTCTTATATATGTCCATAAAATGACTCAGATGGAAATACAGCAAAGTATTAACAGATCATTACTAGGTGGTAGGCTCAAAAACATTTTTCTATTCTTACATATTTTTTATGCACTCTATATTTTTCTAAAATGAGCAGCTAACACTCAGACCTTAAAAAAAAAAATGTATGTTTTCTTTTGCTGATTTATCTTAGCTAATTTTCCCTTCTATGTGACGAAGGTTAGGTGTTAATACAGACAGAATGGGCTCACTCCCCAGCTGTGCAACTCTGAACCAGACTCCTTCCTCTCTGGACCTACACCACGGGCTACCCTGAGGGGCATGAACCCCAGGGATATACAGCATCAGGCGTAGCAATGTACCTAGGAACAGTTCATTATTACCACTCCCTTTTATAGACCCTTTCTTTAAACAGAGATCCACTAGCCCAGTTAAAAATAACAGCTCTTCATTACCTAACAGTCTAGTCCAGTAGTGCTGAACCTATGGCATGCGTGCTGCAGCAGGCTGTTACCATGAAAAGCTCTAAAAGGTTCATCACCACTGGTCTAAGTCCATCTTGTTTTTTGACTTATCTATCCTCAAACTAAAACTGATCAACCCAAAGGAGTAATTTTTACAAAAACACACAAGACACAAATACTGGTCTTATTGGAGTGTTACATAAAGCATGGGAGAAAAGGAGAGGGGAGTTAGCTAAAATCCCAATAACGGAACGAGGCAATGTGCACCTGTCACAAACCCGAGCTTGAAGGTCAATGAAAACCACAGCTGTCGGCAGACTTCGTGCTGCTCACCTGTGCCGCATGCTGAGCATCACTCTGAAGTCAGGAAGAACTGCCTTAGACCATCCTACAGTAAAAAATCTTTTACTTTAATGACTTGCTACAGGACACGATCTACTTGGACTGACCCCAACTCATTAAGTCCCCACCACACCAACCCCACATAAATGCCTGTAGATTTAGACCAGTGACTTTTACTCAGGAAACTTTTACTGCTATTCTGATACTCGTTCCTTTATTTCCTTCACAGTGTTATCAAGAATTGTATCTACCTATAAAGTGCATATATATTAAGATATCGCACAAACAAAGCAAAATACAATTACACTAACTTGGGACTCTGCTTCTAAATGGCATGAAATTTAACTGAAATAGATCAGACTTAAAATGTATGAATTTCTGTACAGAAAGCGTTCTGCTAACAAAGCAATTCTTTTAAAGTTATCAAATAAAGTAGGCCATTATTAAAAAGGAAATAGCAACTTTCTGGTATTACAACTGAGCCTGAGTAACCTCAGTTAGGGAGGAATATTTATTTTACCCAACCTCAAAAACAACCCAAGCCCAAATCACTGCCCTCAAGACCCACTTCCTGCTGGCTGTTCCCAGCCTCTCTTCTGGCTCCTGCACCTTTCCTGCTCCCAACACAGCACACTCTTTGCAATGCCAAGTGTATAGTGAATTCCTAGGATCCCAAAGAAGCCTTGCTCATAAGACTATGAGGTAATCTATGACAAAGATGTGTCTTAGTGGTCACCTGAGTCCTCTGTACGAAGCCATTTTAAAGGGTGTTTAGATGATGTGAAAGCCCAAGGCTCTTCTCAAAGACATGCTGACCCAAGACAGCAAGATCTTCACATCATAAAAGACATAGACCTGAAATTTTTCAGGCAATTGTTAAAGTCTCAGTAGGTAAAAAGAACGTACTTGCATGGCAGGATTCTGATAAGATTGCTGACTTTAAAATTTTCGATACACACTGCACAGTTATCAGCATCAACATCAATACCCTAAAAAAGAAGAGAAAGCTGACTTTATACCTCATATACACTACACATCCATGGTAAATGCACCAAATCCTGACTGAAACAATGATGGATTCTACTCTCCCCTGGGACGACCTGAAAGTAAAGCACAGATAATTGTAACTGTTTTTACATCTACTCTTAAGGGGTTATCTAAAGAATCTCACTGGGGAGGAAAATGTTTCATTGTCTATCTAATCAGACAGGAACAGTATTTAAGTACTAAGTTAGCGTTTGAGATTTTAAAATTGTACAATTCAACTGTACCACAATGTCACAGTTGCTAGGGAAGGATGCTGGCTATCAAGACAATTTAAGAGTATTTTATACTAAATAAATTATATGAACCATTATCAAATTCTCAATTTGTAAAAATCAAATGTCTGTAATTTAATGTGGTAATTTTACTTTAATCCAATAAGTATGTTAGAGAACAGATTTTTTCTCAACTAGTTTACTGGTACATTTTAGGTATACAATACAGTTACATTCATCACTGGGATCTTGTACCTTTACATGAGTATCTTGGTTCTTATTTTTTCCCCTTCCCCTGCCCTCCCTTCATCCCCTCCACCCTTCCCTATTTACAAAGACTTTGTTTCCATGTTTTCCTTTTCTCTTATTTTTTCCCATTCTTTCCTTTCCCCTTCCCCTCCCAGTTCCCCTATTCCTTTAAACACTTTCTTCCTATTTCACAATGTCAGTTATACATTTTGATCCTTCTTTACACTTTTAGCTTTTCACACCAGAGAAACTATTCCATATTTACATGTGCATCCTATTTATTTCACTTAAGAGTATGGCCTCAATATGCATCCACTTAGCCACAAATGTCTCTAGTTTCTCATTATTTATGGCTGAGCAGTACTCCATTTTATTAAAAAACATCTTCGTTAACCAGTCTCCAGTTAATGGGCAATTGGGCTGTTTCCAAGCTTTATCTATTACGAACTGTGCCGCTAAAAACAAGGTGCACATATATCACTGTGGTATGATTCTTTTAATTCTTTTGGGAAGATACCCAGTAAAGAAGAGATTTTTATTGTAAGCGCAGTTTCTATTTTTCTGTGGAAGGGGAGTGGAATATATTAAATCTCAACAACTTAGTGAGATAGAATGAAAATCAAAACAATTCCACAACCCATCATTGCAAGTCCACACAGTCAGCAACACTACACACCACAGAGGATGGAGCGCTACAAGAATAAATGCCAGGGGCTGGGGATTTAGCTCAGCTGCACCGTGCCTGCCTTGCAAGTGCAAGGTCCTGAGTTCGATCCCTGGTACCAAAAACAAAACAATAACAAAAAAAGAATAAATGCCAGTGCACAGCAACAGCTGTCCCTCTAAGAATTTGTAGTGCCGAGATTTGTCCTATCCCAAAAACCCTTTAAATCTCTGGTATAAACCCTTTAAATCTCTGACCATTTAAGTCTCAAGATGGACCTTGTCAAAATGTTCCCTTTTTTAAATCTTTTTTTGAGACAAGGTCTCACACTATTTAGTTCAGGCAGGCCTCAAACTCAATGATCTGCCTGGTTTAGCCTCCTGAGTGCCAGGATTATAGGCACACACCACTGTGCCTAGCTAAAAAATACTTTAGGGGCCAGAGATTTAGCTCAGTGGCACTGTGCCTGCCTCGAAAGCACAAGGTCCTGAGTCTGATCCCCAGTACCAAAAGGTGGGGGGGGTGGGGGTGGCGCTGGGATGTTGTGAAGTGATACAGGGCTTGCCTAGCATGCAGGAGGCCTTGGGTTCAGTCCTCAATCCTGACCTGCCTCCCTGAAATACCTTTTCTCTCCACAAATCCTCAGTATTCCCATGTGATTAAGGGACTCCAAGAGAATGGACTTGTAGTCTCAGATTCAACAGAAATGAATGCAAGGCACCATGAGTCAACTGCTTAAATGTTAAGTTCTGTAGGTTCTTTATAGTCTCCCAGACTTGACAGACAAAACTTTCTTGGATGGCACTATCAGTGCTGTCTTGTATGGTAGCACTGGCACAATGGACACTTGAAACATTAGACACTTGAAAGCTAGTATGACTGAGGAACTCAATTTTAAATAAAATTTAACTCACTGAAAATGAAACAGCCATACGTGACTAGCAGCTACACTGCGGGAGGTCTTTACCCATAGCACTTCTGCCAGTCCTCCTTTAGAATAAACACTTATATGGAAGTCAGCACTAACTCACACCTGCTTATGTACTGTGTGTGGAAGGAAAGTTGTTTCTTAAAACACATAAACACATCCTCTAGTTTAAACCATCAAACAGTGTGAAAACATTACCTTTTCTCCATCCTTTACAGTATGAAGTGGAAGCTGGCCAATAACTTTCTTAGTTTCTTTTCTGTAGCTCTTGGGGAAGAAAATATTGTTATTACTAAAAATTTTAAGTCACTATTTTTAAAAAGTCATCCATTATAACATAAGCAAACATAAAGAAAAAATGCATTACAAAAGAAAAGTTAAACGACTTTACTAAAAATAAGGAACTCACTTTTTTCCTGTGGTGCTGGGACCAAACCCAGGCAGTCTCGTATACTACTAACATATGGTCTACCTCTGAGACACACACCCAGCCCCAAGAAACTGAGTCCTCTGTTTAAAAGTATCGGTGAGATAGGAATAAGCTGAGGACGGGTATAGCATGCACTCGCCATGTTAAGGCTGGAGGAAGAGAAGTTCCCCGCCTAAGCATCACGCCAGGAAGGGCTTGACAGCTTCTCTGCAGGAGACAGCAAACCCCTGCCTCTCTGCCACTGCAAGGTCAGGACCAAGGACCAGGCCTACAGGAGGGCAGGTTCAGTCGTCCCATGCCTTTTTTTTTTCATTCCTCTCTGTCTGGAAAAGGACAAAGTGTACAACAAAGTGATCCAGACTCAAAAATATCTAATTCCCACACAGCAGAAATACATTCCAATTAAAAAGTTATTTTCAAAAGTCATTTGAATACTTAAAATGAAAATGAAATTAAGAATATGTTCAAATATAATTTCAAGCAATATACAGATGAATTTATGAACCATCCGTTTAAAAGCACAATTATATTTTCCATAATTACCTATTTTTAAATGGTGAGCCAGTATATAAGAAATACTGTGCACAGTAAAATATTAGCGAGGCTAATGAGATAATCATTACAGTGATGAGTGCAAAAACAAAAGGCTGATGACTGTCAATGAGCTGCATATGACTGGTTCCAATCTGTATGGTCATTTTTACTAGGATTCCTTTTTGTAACAGATCCAAAATTTCTCATCCTCTTGGGTAGCTAACCATAATGACCACTATATTTCCTGTGCCTGTAAGAAAAAAGAAAGGTATTAATATAAAGAACATAACATAAAGTTAAGAGAAAGCTTAGAGTACTATGCTCATCAAGACATATATTTGAAAACTTTGATCAAACAGGTAATTTTTCAAGGAAAATATCAATTACCAAAACTAGTTCAAAAACCAAACCAAACCAAAACAAAAAAATCAGACTGATCACATTTACAAAAAGTAGAATAAATCACCAAGAATACCCCCCAGAAAGCAGAACACCATTTAGTTTCACAGGTTAAGTTTACTAAGATTTAAATTGTTCCATAGCTGATTGAAAGAAGAGGAAGTTTTGAAATTATTCCTAAGATTGTAAAATCAAATTGGTATTAAAAAAACAAAGAGCTGGGGATGGGTGGCACATGTCTGTATCCCAGCACTCAGGAGGAGGCTGAGGCAGGAGGACCTTGTCGAGTGCCAGGGCAACCTGAGCTACATAGTGAGAGAACGGGGGGGGGGGGGGCGGTCAGCTTGTAGAAAACAAAATACAAAAGGGTTTCTTAAGCAGCAGCACTGAGATATGATTCACATACTACAAAAACCACCCACTTAAAACAAAAAATTCAGATTTTAAGTAGATTGGCAAGGTTGTGGAAGTATTACCACCATCTTGTTCTATAACATTCTTATCACTCCAAAAAGAAACCCTGTGCCCATTAGCAGTCATCACTTTGGTTCTTTTCCTGGTATCAGGAACTCAGGACCTTGCACTCGCCAGGCAGGTTTGGCACCACTGAACTATATCCTGGGCCCTTCAACAAATGGAGTTTAAACATGTGAGAACTTGTGGTCCAAATGAAAACATGTTATTTGTAAAACTGGTAAAGACCAAAGGTTGATACACTATATTCATAAGGATATATCAGGACTGTTTTTTTAGAGGTGTATTTAAGGATTGAACCCCTTCCTACATGCTAGACAAGCTCTCTGCCACGGAGTTACAACCTCAGCACTTTGAACTTGTGATCCTCCTGCCTCAGTTTCCCAAGTAGCTGGCACAATTCGGGGAGGGGAGTGAATTATTACACTCTTGTATGGGTGTAATGGCTGTCAAAAAATTTAAGAGCATGTCTCTTTGACACAGCAATTCCATGTTCAGGAACGTAATTGCACAGATGTATTTACACATGAACACGATGATGTATCTGAATTTGTCAATGGTTTTTTCTCAGAACAAATGTAGTAAGCATTCTGTCAAACCACGACACCAAAACCAAAGACACAAATTAATTGTCCTGATAATTCTGGACTCCTTCAAGACCTCTCAATTAGGTCAGCTCTGGATTTAAACAAGGTCGTATTGACCACAAATAGCAGCAAGTACCTAAGACATGTTCAAGACAGGAAACAAGCATGCACAGAGGGAGGAGAAATATAGGCAGCCTCTCTACATCCTCACTCTGTAACATACGTGCTACATATAAAGGGATGAAACTCCTTCTGTGAAAAACGCTTTCATACAGAAAAACTGTAGGTTTTTTCACTCCTTCCCCACAAGTTTTAGGCCCTGACTAGAGAAGGAAATAAAAAATAAAGTGACAGTAATTTCAAGACTCTAAATGTACTTATCATCTTTAAACTTCAACCTGCATTTATGAATATCCAATCAAGAGACTTAATTTTCTCCCTTAGGAAATTTTCAATCAAACTGGAGATAAATTAATACCATTTTAAAGTTCAAGAAAGGACAGACTAGAGTCGTGTGTGAGGGGCTGGGTGGGTAGCTCAGTGGCAGAGTGCTTAGCATGCACAGGGCTCACAGGGCTGGTTCAATTCCCAGCACCACACACTCAGAGCTAACAGCTCTGTGACAGGAAAGAGAAGATCCCTCCAGAGCCAGCTGCAGTTAGCAGCAGTCAGGAGGAACAACTGGCTGTGACAAAGGGATCCATTACATTACAAAGAAGGAAGGAGGCACTGGTTTCACCCTAGACTCCTTGCTAGGTCTAGGAGGTAACTCACAGGGCACCTAGACAAGGCTGCACCACCAAACCAGCACAGTCAAGGCCAAAGCAATGCCTGGCTAATTTTTTCCTGCTGATGGTGGCAAAACAACCAGGAAGCCCCAAACTTAGCACAAAGATATTTACCTAATAGGCAATAATACAAAAATAAGTAAGGCAATTCCCCAAACATCACTGCAGAGATTTCATGTAACTTTGATATGGTATAAAATGGTTTCCACACAGGGACAAGATTTGCATTAATATTTCTCAAAAATCCAAGACTTCTGTTCTAGTCTCAGTTTAAGAGATTTTAAAATTATACCTTTCCTGTGTTAGAGGCAAGATAAAAGAGTAAATGGGCACAAGAAATCCTCCATTCTGAGTGACCGCAACAGGAAGAGCTCTAGAAGCCAGTGGGTAGGAGTTCATTCAGGTCAGGGGACTGGAGATTATGGATGGGTCTGTGGCAGCTGTTTCTTTCTTCCTATCACTACTGGCATGTCCATTCAGATGGCCTGAAGGCTGCTGGAACCTCATGGAGCTGACTTGGCCTGGGTGTTTGATCCCAGAACCTCAGAAGAAAAGCAGAGCTCTATAAATTACAGTATGTGTACACAAGATAGTACTCAAGATAGGAAAAAAACAAAACAAAACAAAACAAACAAACAAACAGGTAAAACTGCCTGTCCTTTAAAAGCCGTAAGGAGCTAAATGCTCTCATCACACAGATGACCTCAGGAAGGAGATTCAAGAGACTGAAAATGCACAACTGAAAATGCACAAATCCACATAAAGAACGTTTCCTGGGGCTGGGGATTTAGCTCAGTGGTTCTGCCACCTGCCTTGCAAGTGCAAGGTCCCGAGTTCCATCCCTGGTACCAAAAAACAAAACAAAACAAAAAGAATGTTCCCTGTATTACAGTGAAACTGTATTAGACATTGTTCAGGCACTGTAGGGGAAAAGTAATCTGTAACACACTGCTAGGATTGAGTTACTGAAATGCCAGAAGGGCATTCTTCTGGTGGTGGCTTGTGTCAGGAAGGTGATCCTGTTGTCTGCCCAGGCCAAAAAGTGTCCCTCATGCAAACTACTAGGTGATCACTGGGGAGACACAGGAAAGCAGGCACTTATTGCCTTTAGAAAAATTAACATTTAGTAGTAAGGAAGACAGGTATAGAAACAATTATGATAGTTATACCATTTACAGATGATACTTTACAAGCTAAAAACCTTTTTAATAAAAATTTTGTGGACCATTTAAAGCACGAAACTAAAATAGAAAGTAAAATGCATCCCCATGTTCCCATCTGTCAAAAGCTACTGCAAAATTGTTCCGACGCTATAATGACAGTTATCATGTTCGTTGTGTGTTAATGGATAGAAGCAATTTTGAAGCATTTTCACTTCTACTGAACAGCTCACCTGAAGCAGAAAAGAGACCACATTACCATTCTGTCACTGAGGACCTGAAAATTCTCATAAGCTGCTCAATATCACTTGGGACCTGGAAGAGCTGTTCTAAGGGAGCAGATCCAGCTCCAAAGCAGTATCTTCCCTGTACCTCCTCCTCCTCGGGGACAAAGCTACACAGACCTGCTCTCCATCTGCCTCAGTCACTGCCTGAGTGGCTGGACAAACTGATTTCTCAGAATGTTTCTTCAGCTATAAAATGAGAATGATTCTATTGTTTAATAAGAAAGTAGAGCAACAAAGCTATAGAAGTAAAGAATGATTTTGTCTAGAGTGGAGAGAAATCTTTCCCCCCAGGAGGCACATTTTAAAATTTTTTTTCCCCCAGACGGGATCTCACTATATAGTCTAGGTTGGCCTCGAATTCACACCAATCCTCCTGCCTCAGCCTCCCAAGTGCTAGGATTACAGGTGTGCACCACCACACCCAGCTCACGAGGCATATTTAAACTACTTCTTCAAAGACAGGAAAATTTTCTAAACTAAGGAAGGGAGCTTCTTTTTTTTTTTTGGTATGGGCAATCGAACTCAGGACCATATGCTTGCGAGGCAGGCATGGGTGCCACTGAGTGAAATCCCCAGCCCAGGAAGAGAGCTTCTCCAAGCTGTGAAACTATCTTAAAAATGTACTTGGGATGATACTGGCCTAGCTTGGTCAGAGATAATGTAAAGGTATTTTGTTGAATAAATAAATGGGAAGTGGAAGATTAACAGATTACTGAACACTTAATATCTCAAGACTGGAGGGTGATGGAATGAATACTGACATAGCAAAAACTGTATCAGTACAACCTGAGCTGAAAGCACCTGTGAGATCTATGTGAAACCTCTCACCTAAGAAGTTAACCTTAGCTTACTGAGTTAAAAGAAATTACAATATTTTAAAAAACTGGGCCTAGCATAAAGTTTGTTATGGTGTAATTAGAGGAATGATTGCTTCTGGTTTTATAGTCATTTTAGCGCAAAGAATCACGGCACGAAAATGTCTAGACGAAGTCTTTTATAGCTGGCGACCAAAAGGCAAGCTCTTGCTCATAACCTCTTTTTGGTACTGAGTAGCTGGGAAGCCCCAGTTTTAAAGGAAAAAGCACACAACAGAATGTCATGATCTTATCTTTGTGCAAGCACAGGGTTATAGAAGCAGACTGCAAGTTAGATTAAAATCCAATATTTGGGATCTGGCAGGAAAATTTTTATCTTTATGGTTAGGGCAGCAGGATAACATGTCCTGTTGTTGTGCCCAGATCGCGAGGTCCCCAAAGACCACCAAGGAACTGATTCCGATGCAAACACACGAGGGTCGTTTATTCAAGCTCGAGCAGGGACTCTCAACTGTCACCGACGCAGTGGGTCAAGATTGAGAGCCCTGACTCTAAAACACCAGGAGTTTTTATAGAGGTTACAGCAAGGCGCGGGATTTCGAAAAGGGCGCGGGGTTTCAAATCACACACAAATCACACAATTGGCTAGCATTTAGCAAGTTTTGAAAGTTTAAACCTAATTGGCTGGGCCTTGCGCGCTGAACTGCAAATGGCTGCTCAAGTCATCGAAAAGAACATCT